CCAGTATCAGTCTGTGAACCATGAACCAGTCTGCGCAAGCAGCGGGCAAATGTGCAAAGCTTCATTTGCACATGTGCAGGAGCTAGGTTGCGCACATGAAACAATCCCCTCCCTACCACCACTGCTGCCAGTATGTGGAGCCAAAAAGATTGTGGTGTAGATTTTGAGATACATATTTCTTAAAGATTAAAAAATGCTATTTGGGGTGAGTCGTATGTTAATATTTTTAGAATGTAATTATAACAAGAACTAATGCTTAAAAATGTTTGTACATTCTTCTGGAGCTATTTTAAGATTAATTTAGATGTTTGATGTTTATTATAGTTGGACTGCAGTCATTTATTGTATTTGCTAACATAAAACTTAGATTTTGTAATGTTTCATTAAACTCCATTGCCTTAAGATTTTAAAATAAAGTCCGCTAATTCCAAATTTTAATGATAAAACTAAAGCGTTTATCTCTGAAAAATGTAATTAGATATTTTTTTCATTTAAGTCTCCTTCTAGATTAAAAAGGAAGGTATCTTCACAATCTTTTGAAATATATTTTTGTTCATCTCACACATTTCATCATATTATTATATAAATTTCCACCTACATTTTATAATGAAAAGCATTCGTGTCTTTTATTATATATTGTTTTAATATATTGCTTTAGTATGAAAGTTAGAATTTCCTGTCCCTGTCTTTTATATGAATATTTTTTAAAAAAAATAAATATTCTAAAGTATCCATGGTTTATTGTGGTTTGAGACAGTTAGAATATTGAAAAGTCAGCTCATCTATATCCTTCATCCAAGATAATGCAGGTAAGAAAAAAAAAATTCTAGGAAATTTATTTCTAGGAATCCTGGGTAGGTGCTTTTCCATACCTAACTCCTAAGGAGCCTGAACAGGACTGTAATGTTTCTAATCCAGGCTATATCACATATATCACATATATCACAGTAGGGCCATCTAAAAAGTTAAGAGAGTGGTGGCAATTGCACAATTACAGACACAATCCTTTTTACACGTGAACATAAAAAGCGGTGGGGCAGTATAGTCACGACCAGGGCTTTTTTTGTCATTAAAACGCACAGGAACAGAGTTCCGACACCTTTTTTTGACGGATTTTCCAAAGTTGCGCTCTTTTCCTATTGTTTCCCTTCCTATCGTTATTTGTTTTTGAAAATGCCCCACTGGTGGTACGATGCGAGGGGGGTCTCTTCTGGCGCTGCTGCCTCTTCTAGGAGGAGCCATGAGGCGCCGGAGCACCACAGCCAGTTCCTGGCTTGATTGGCTGGGTCAGACCATGTGGTGTGGAAGCCAATGGTGGCGGTGGGAGACACATAAACATGGAGGCCATTTTTCATGAGAGAGTGAGTGAGCCTTTTGCCTTTCCTTACAGAAGTTGGAGTGTGAGGTTAAAAAAAGGCGAAGTGAGAGGAAAGAAAGGTGGTTGGTGTGGAAGCTTGCCCGACAGTGAAACTTTGCTGTTTCAGTTCCTTGGGTAGTTCAAAGGCTGGGATGTCTATGAAAATCTCTTTTTAGTCTTTTATACTTTATATTCAAACTGCAGAGGGGAAGAATAAGAATAAAGGCAATATCTTGTGATTTGGAGGTATTATTATTATTAATAATATATATTATGTATTGGTCAGATGTAAAGGTAGACCTACAGTATGAGGTTTAATCAGATCTATTTATTAAATTGGGTTTAACTTAAAGGTAAATTAAAAGTAATCAGTTCACTGACAAAGTTTCAACTTTAATTTGTTTCAAGTCAATATCCATATTAAATGCCAAATGTAAATTTTTCCATCTTGTTTGACAACTTCACTCCACGTAGAAAGCTGACATTTCCACTCATTAAACTAAATGGGTATGCCAATGGTAATTGTCCCAAAAGATTAATAAAATGCCTTCTTGTAATTTAAAGCCACACAGTACATGGTAACATTAATAGTATTAACTTACCTTGAACAAAATCCTAGTCTTTTAGATACCCTAAAAATTGAAGGTTTTTTTTTTTCAACTACAAAGGTAAACCTTGTAGGGTAGGCAATGCGGGTTGTATGATATGTGTGAGTTCCGGCACCTTTTTTAATATATATATAAAAAAAGCACTAGTCACAACCCTTATCTTGATTTTTTTTTTTAATCGTGCCCTCTTGGATAAACACTGGTCAGAAAATTATGTAAAACTATTTTTATACATAATGATATTTATATGTGCTAGCGGAATTAACTTGCAAAGTTTTTAGAAACTTAGTTATCTTCTAAAAAACAAGACAAAAATATGGATACCCAAGAATTTATTTCTTTCGTCTATAGTAACTATTGTCACTATGGATTTTATGAACCAAATTTAGACTACAATTTTTATTTATTATTGATATGTAGAATTTGCAATTAGCTTACCATTCTTTTTTCTCTCAGTTAAAATGGGAAGCACAAAACTTTCATTTGCTGAAATTTTGCATAGAAGTAAAACTAATATCAAGTTTAACAACTGTTATTATTTTTATATCCCACCTTTATTACTTTTTAGAAATAATTCAAGGCCGTGAACATATCTAATATTCTTTCCTCCTAAAGAACTTTTGGCCAATTAAAACAAGCAACAGTGATATACGTTTTTCTAGAAATGGTTTCCGCCCAAAGTGTCTTTTTCATCCAAAGAACATATTTTTCAAGGATTTTCTGGTGTAATTAACTTGTTTACCTAGAAAGCAGTATTCAGAGTAAATTTGGACCATATAATGCTTGAAGTTAAAATGCTTTTGCTTGCCTGTGGTCCTTTACATCTACTAACTATTATTACTATACTTTGGGCATTCTTTTGTTTCTGAAACCATTAAAAATGTTGGAAGATACTTTTTTAAACCATGTTTATATTTCTTGCTATTTTTTCCCTTTTCTCTTTCTGTGTCAAGCAATACTGCTACTCTAAAAGGAAAAAGCTTGCAAAACAGTAGAGTGTTAAATAATTCCTAAGAAGGCCCAACATAAGTGCTAGTATCATTGTACAGTGGCCACTAAACGCTATTGAGCATAACAGTCATTGCAATATGGTGATTGCCTAATTATAGCAAGGTAAACTGACCCAGAAGACTAGCTCTCCACCTGTGATAGAAAACTGAAGGTTGATTCAAAGATATCAACTTTCAAATCTCAGTTGGCTATGAAACTGTTGAGGTTATTTTAGGCCTATCATAATCCATCAGCCTAAAGTCATAGTTGTCAAGTCCAAAACTAAGAATGACACACTGAGTTCTTTATTGTTTCAGACCTAAAGACAAAATCTTGCCAGACTGTACTACGGCATCTGCACCTACAACATACTCTGTGAACTATTAGGAGGGGCTGTCTTAATGTGGCTTAAAGCAGATTTCTTTTTTCCCCTCCTTTTAATTTTTTTTTAAATTTGTGTTTTCAAAAAACATGTCTCTAAAGGGATAAATATTAAAATTATACCATTAAAGTTCACATTAGTAAAAAATAAAACATACCAAGCAAATCACATTGGTTTCTTTTTATGATATTCAAAAGTATATTTTTTTAGCTTAATATCAAAATCTCCATTATATTATTTACAAATGTTCAAAAAAGGAAAAAGGGAAGGGCTCTGAAAAATAATATAAATATTTAATTTCTGACTCCCACTTCCTTTGTACCCCAACTGATTTGCCATACATATTGGTTTAAACTTTGAAACTTAAATATAATCTTCTACAGCAGGGTTGTTAAGTCTTGGCAAGTTTAAGACTTGTGGACTTCAATTCCCAGAATTCCTCAGCCAGCATAGTATTGAAGAAGAGCTTTCAGCATCTCCAACCAGCCAACACCCCTGAATGTACCATATTGGGGAAGACTCTTTTAAGCTACCGTAAGAGTCTTTCAGTACAGTAGTTCAACTTTGTACTTTTTTTGGCTGTTCATGTATGGTTTCGCTATGCCAATACTCTTGGCATGGGTATTCTTTATTCAGCTGGTACCGTACTTTTTATTACCTCCCTGCCTCTAATATGTAACCTAGCTGCTGTTTCAGTGGCAGCAGCTCAACACCGAACTTGATAGGTTTTTTGTGGTTCATGTGCAATGTCTTTGAGTTTGTAATACATGGACTATATCTATCTGGCAAAGTTCCTTAGTTAGCCGCCTGTGTTCTCAATGCCAGAAGGAAAAGAGCTCAAATGTGTTATCAGGTTACAGGCCCAAGCATGTTTGCTTCCAGCAATCATCGTAGCTGCCCCTTTTAATTTCAATTTAAGCTACTGCCTATTTTCTGTACCTAATCCTAACTAGATTTGGTTCAGAAATGCAACCTGGACTTCAGCAGCATTCTATGCTGTTTAAATATATGAGATTTTTTTCATCTTGAAAAGATCTTTTTTCTTCATTGTCTATTTGCTAGGCTGCCTGGTACTGATACAGGAACATAGGAACATATAGCAATATATAGCATGATGGACTTCATACTGGGTACATATAGGGATAGCTCATGGGTTTTTTCCCCTGTTATTTCATCTTACACGACTCTATCTTGACTTAGTAGCATTTTACAGCATGGTAACGTAATTGAAATCCTATAAAACTATAGTATATCTGTTGTTACTCCTACCTGTGTTTATGCTACCAAAATGGTTACTATTGAGAAAGGTCTAATTCAGAAAGCCACCTGTTTCTCTCCTCCTGTGGGTATCTGGCGTAAAACTAAAGTAATGGGGTTTGAACGATTTTACAGGCAAAGCATAGCAATTCACGTGTATGAAGTTAACCCATGTATGGCACTCATTGTTGACTCTAGCTGCCCACCCCAACCTGTCTTCATGCTCTCTAAATCATGAATTTAATCTTTAGAATACCCTTTGCAATTATAGCATGGAGCCATGAGAGTATACATTTTAAACATTTAAATTATAATTAATATTGTTGTTTTGGTTTGCTTTTGTTCCTTTTGTTTTGTACAAGCAAACTTTCAATGAAGTCTACCCCTTACCTCCTCCCAAACATACCTCATACATTCTCTCAGCAGTTTGACAGTATTTCTCCATCTTGCAACTTCTTCCTGTAGAAATGCATAGCATTTTGCAACATTGAGGAATGTTATATATACATTGGCAGGCAAGAGTTTTCAACACATCTTAAAAATTAAAAAACAGATATTTGAAGAGATAGATCTTCCCTAAGCACAACCAAGATAACATAACTGCTCCTCCCTGTTAACACATATTACTTTTGATGGATTATCTGACTGACTTTTAAGGCTTGTACATTGCCCTTAAAAACCAAGTTGCCTAAATCAGCTTATGGCAGGTTAAAATCACCGAATAAAAATCTAAACAATTAAAATAGGTAATGATACAAATTTACTATAATCCTTAATAGTAAAAAAGAGACAGGTTAATAAAAAAATAAATACACACAAATGAGTAATTTCTCATTTTAAACAGCAGATACATTTAAAACCAACACATGAATTGTTTAAAATGCCTTGGTGAATAAAAATGTTTGCATAGTATTTAAAAGTCAAATAGATTTCCCTGGTTTTAGTGGGAATGAACAAGTCAGCATGATGTTCATGCTAACATAGAACAGGATAAGGCTGCAAATGCGGAGATACAAGGAAAGCTTTGGAGGACACAGCTGTTGGTTATACGCACTTCCAACAGCACTGAAATAATACTGTTTGGTTGCCAACACCGAAATAAGATTAACTAGCATTCCATTCTAAGTTGAGAATTCTTTTGTTGCCTCAGGAAATGAAATTTCTTGGGCCATCTTTGCTGAGGATATCATATCAGGCTTAGATTAAATTCAAAAGTGTGTTTTCACTTTTAAAGCAGCTCATTGCTGGGACTAATATAAAAATTTCTTGTAAAAGACATTGGTCAAAACACAGCTTTGATGGCCTTTAGAAGGTACTGCATGTTCTTAGTTAAAGAAGATGGGTGTTAATTGAGTTCATTATAAACAGCGTTTATAAACAGCATTGTAAAGCATGCTGTTTTAGAAATGTTGTTTAACTGCTTTAATTGGTTTGAAGTATGTTTATAAGCTCTCTACTGATGTGAGATTTGAATATTCAAAATATGAATAAAACAGTAAACAGGATTTGTATTTACATCCTTTTGGTGGAATTTTCTTATATCTATTCCATTTATGGGCAAAAGACTTATGTGAATCCTAAATGCATCTATCATTAAATGTCAACATATTTAGCTAGGCATGGAATTAAATAGGAGGACTTTTTTATGGAAATACAATGGAATTACTGTACATGCAAGAGGGCTCTTCATTGATATTACCTGGAAAACAGAGAAAGCAAAGATTCCTTCTACACTGTTGTATCTCCAGGCTTTTGCTGCTTTTTATCAAATTGATGGGATCAGTGTCATAGCATTTCACTGAAAGCGCTGTCCCTTTGGGACACGTGTGCAATGTTGCAATGCATGTAGAAAAGGATCGGGCTGGTACTGTGATTTGCAATTCTGCTTTTGTCAGTCTGAAGTCCCTTGTTCCTCTTCTTTCCTAGGATGTTGCTGCTTCTATAGCATTTCCAGAATAGCTGTTCAATAGCCTCTTCCCATGCTTCTCTTCCCTCCCTCTAATAATTATTCCTGATAAGGCAGGGTTAGGGATGTTACAAGCTTTTTGTATCAAGCTGCATTATCACTTTTCAACAATTATTTAGAAGAAGTACTTTGAACCTTGGGTAAATACAATTACTCTCTGCTATTCATTAAAACAACTGGTCTTGTTTCAATCTCCCAACATAGTCTAAAAAATATAGCTGCTTCAAATTACGTGAATCAACTCCTTAAAGATGTTTCACTTTTTTTATATGACAAATCTGAAAAAAATGTGGGTCTGTTTTAAGGGACATCCTCCCCGAAGTACCACCCAATTCCAGATCCAAACAATCTTATTCCCAAGTCACATGATGCCCAAGTCACAAATCACAAACACTAACATCACCTGAAGCTCAAATTTAAATTTGGATTTTCCCAGGCTGCAGGAAACTCTTTCAAAACAAACCAAGAATTCAGTATAAAATTAACCAAAGCACCAACAAAAAGGTAATATAAAAATGCAAATATTTACATTATGTCAGATTATAATGCAAGACTAGTGCAACAAACACCTACACATGCACAAATATTATATTCTACTTCAATTTTAGGAACCACATTTTTTATGTTTATGACTTTTTGCTTGATAGGAATTTATTTTCAAAAAAATGTATAATACTAAGAATTTTACTATGGTATAATGTTATCCTGTCTTGTTTCCCATTTGCTTAAACCTTGTTTTTGTTTTATCACAGTAACACATATTAACATAGAAAAAGTGTACTTAAGTTAACAAGAAACTAGGGACTGAATAATTCTTTTAAAGAATCTCCTAAATTACATGTAAAATATATTTTTAATTGTCTTTGTGTAATGCACCCATTTTTGGATTATATATTTGGTCAGTTAAGCTTTAACTGCTGGTTGCCACAAAAATCTTTTTGTTAACTTGGAGGCAATCATTCAAACAAATTCAGGGTATTTATCTAATTCAAAAATACATGCTTCTATAGCTGTACAAATTATTCAGCTAAATTTGCTGTTGTATAAGTGCTGGAGCATTATGGTATGAACAAACCTGTAACAGAACACCATCCTATGAGCAGGAAAATAATGCAATCATCAAGAATGCTAGCAAAACAAATATATGGCTATAATCATTTTAATATAAGGCTGCATTTTCCCCATAAAAGCACCAAACACAACACATATTTACCTAGTATTTTTTTTATCACATTTTGATATAAAATCCAAGGAGCCAAGCATTTAGATTTACTCATGAAAATCAATGCAGTCAACGTTAGAAAATTACGTATATTAGAAATCATTTGATGGCACTCTATTGTTGCTATTGTAATCACTGTAATTTTCATTGGTAACAGTACTTCGTGATTAAATAGGGTTCTCACAGAATCACTATGAAAGATACCGGAAGAATCAGGATATAGCATCTGGTTATAAAAAGCTCTTCACATTCAAGTTGGCATTATATTTTTTTTCTTGGAAATTTATTAGAGATTCATATCATGCCATTTTAAGTGGAAAAGGTGAAAGCAAAGTAATTTTGTTCTATGAATTATTCATAATTATTCAGACTGGGTAAGATTACCATCCAGGCACTGATTTCGCTGACAGTTTCTTCTGCTGCTCCTCCATTATGCTTGTCAATTTTATTTCTTTTATCTGCAATTGCTTTCTTAGTTACTGAACTCGCCCCTTAGGGCTTCCTCTTCAGAAAAACAGAGTATTTCAAATCAGCAAGAATGCAGACCGGGTGCAACTTGCCTCAAAATCACAGTTCTCCATGAACTATCCACCCTCCACCCCAGAGCATTTCAAAATTCACATCCACAGATGTGACTATTTCTGATAAAGTTTATATATATTAGGTATTTATATCTAAAGTTACATATAAAAGAAAAAGCAGAAGACAAAAAACATAATACACTGAGAAAGAGTTACAGTATATTTTTCCTGAAAGATCCCAGGAGTCGGGGTATATGGTGATCCTTCCTTCCTTGGTTGTCAGTGTAACCCATCCTAGCTGCATAGTACCACGCAGAAACAAACCACAGTTAAAACAGACTGACTTCAGCACTCTATTTCCAACATGATGCGGACAAGGGGTGCCCTCGTGACAGGCTAATCCATACAAACATACACTTCAGAGACCCCAAAGCCATTAACTGCTGATGGAAAAGAGAAGGTAAAAGAAAGTTAGCAGCACTTGGGATCGACTGCAATGCCAGAGAAGCTCCACTTGATGGCTGGTTGTGTCCCTGCTAGTCGGTTGCTCTCCTGTACCCGTCCAAAAAGACTGGAACTGAGTTGAATCAGGGAGCCTGCTTTGCTGGTTTGAGCTTTGGCTCTGACTGATCTTTGGCTACCTACAGAACCAGGACTAAATACTACTCTGGGATGTTTAGATGGCTTCAAGAGTGAAGAGCGAAGAGGAAAAGAAAAAAAAAAGAGAGAGAGAGAGAGAGAGAGTAGAAGGGGGAGAGAAGGCCCCAGGCAATGATAGGTAGCATCTCCTTTCTCCTGTTCTTGCAGGTGTCTATCACAGTGGCATAAGCAACGGTTCACATGCAAGGCAGAAAACGAATCATTCTCCGTCAGAAGTATTTAGGAAAAGAGACTCCGAGCGGTGCCTGCCTCCGTTCAACATCGATGCTAATGCCAGAAGCCTACATCCACATCCCAGGTGGTCTGCTGCTCCTGCACTCCAGGAAAAAACGGAAATATGCAGTATATTAGAACACACCAACAGTTTCTCTGCAATAAAAATAATAATAAAACCTATGCTGCTCCGTGCCCGGTTCTAGGCATCTGCTTTGCCGCACTGCGACTAGAAAGCTGCAGCAGGGAGAGCTCTGGCACTTATAGTAATGTAGAAAGCAGCAGCTCTGTGACAAAGCAGTCAGCTGACTCACACTGCTATAATTCTGTGTCCTCTAAAAATAAGGCTAGTTTGGAAGGCAGCACCAGAAGGATGACCTGGCATCCCAAATCTGTTTTTCAAAAAGTAATGATCACCTAGGTAGTGTTTGGAATTCTTCAATTTTCTTTAAATTGCATGATTTTTGTGGTTTCGTGCTGTTTTGAACAGGCTAGTTTTCTACTGACTGGAAAAAGCACAGTCTGGCTGCTTTATATGAATTCCGGCATACAGAATTGTTTGTAATATTTATAAGGATAACAAAGAGTTGTGAACCTACGATGCATTGGAAACAGGCATGGTTCTTTTTTTTTTTTTTTAACCTATCATCAAATCTGCCCTTTTCTAACCAAAACACAAGGGTGGTCCTCAGAATCAAAAAAGAGGATGAAGATGATCAAGATTTTGCACTTTTTAACGAGATGAAAGGAAGAAAATTAGTAAATATGCAAGAGTAATTATATTAAGGTTTTTTTTTAAAAAAAAACACAGTTTAATTAAATTCTAAACAATTCTCTTGGCCTCATCCACTTTTTGGTATTCAGCTGTCAGCCCTTT